TTTCATTTTGTGAAAACATATACTGCGTTCCAACCCTACGCCCGTTATCATGCTAACCAGCCGAGAGACTAAGATGAACTGCGCTTGGTAGCTAGGCTCCCGGATGGGCAGGCAGCCACACCTTAATTCCAGGAAAAAAATGAGATAGTTCGGGAGTGGGGGCCAGGGAGCTTTTCGTTGGAGACACTCTAGAGTCACATATGACAACCTCATCTACTTGTCACAGGACCTTTCAGAAACTCATAAAGGAGGAAGCTGCCTCTGGGACACTGAATTCCTGTCTGGAGTTAACTGTTAATAAAGAGTCCCGCCAGAATTGATACCTACTCTGTCTCAACCCCAGCGGCCAGATAGCCCCGCATTCCGCCAGCCCTTGGGCACAGGGCTCAGCTCATTCTGCAAGGCCCTGTGTTCTTTTCCCTCCCGCCGGGAACGTTTGCTGGGGCTGTGTTTCTTCCCACCTCTCATCCTGGAGCTCAGAGGGCTCTGCTGCTCAAGCTTTCGCCAGCTGGGGGAAGCAACGAGAGCATCAAGTAGGATAAGGGTTTATTTCATTTTTTTCCTGTGCACTATTAACCACATGGGGAGAGCTCCTCTGTCGCGTTTAGATTGGTGTAATCTGTGAATTTACATTCATTCTCTGAGGTCTGGACCTCAGTGTTCTCACCTGTGGGTTATAGATGAAATTATGCGTAAATCACCTTTCAGGGCTAAATTGCCATAGTCTTAATATCTTATTATTCTGGTTTTGAACGGCTGCATCAAGACTACTTTCTGGTGCTTGGTAAAGGCTGAGTACAAAGGGTTTCATACCCAGTGTGGGAGAGCGCGCGGGGTAACCGGGATGTCCTATTTCACCCCCCGCAAAGGTCAGATGCAGGTGTAGGGTGTTTGGGGGAGGCGAGCCCCTCAGCTCCGCTCCCACAAAGGGACGGCAGCCGGGCTGCTCGCCGAGCTCCAGGCTGGAACCCAAAGCCACATGCGCCCTTGCTTTGCTCTGCGCCGCAGCTCCGCGCCGAGCGGTGGGCGGGAAAGGGCACCCGGCGCCTTTAAATGCTAATGAACGCGCTGCCCCACCGGAGCCAAGTTTCCCCACCCTCTTCCCTCCCGGCCGCCTAGAAAAACTCGCGCGGGGCCATTTTCGGGGCAGTAAGATCGCGCCGAGCCGAGCGCGCGCAGCCGGAGC